TCGATATGAGCACATCGATCGATATCCAACGATATGCGCATTTATTCGTCGAATTCTGAGATGCGTTCTCTCGCGAATGTTGAATTTAATAGACAAATAATTACTATTAATGTGAATTTGTGCGCACTGCTAATTGGCTGCGCTTACGTAACACGGCAAACCTCTAGGGGATATTGTAATAGAGATACCTGTGTCTATTTCTAATTGTAAGTAGAATATGTATATTATCAATCGATGAATGTATATATATATGCAAAAGAGATGCCAATGCAATGAGATTTATTAACTATATGTATATATATGTACATATATATACACAAATGTACGTATACAATTACAGATAAAAATAAGTAAAACACGTGAGAGAAAGAGTAGCACTTGATTATTAATAGTATAAAGCGATGCGGTGCAAAAATAAATGGTTTAATGTTTAATTTATAGTTGTAAAATAACGACCAACGTAAATTAGGCGGGCCGCTGAAACTGTTACGATATCCATATAATTAGCCGCACCGTATATAATATTTGCATATTACTCGAAACTTCTGCACCGAAATGCGCGATGTGTACGTACGTTACTACTGTGCGATACAAAAGGTCAAAAGCAACGCGAAAGGTACCAAGGATATCGATGCACGCGCGATATTTCATAAAATACTCAGACATATAATAACAAATTAATTATTCCGATATCGAATTGATTATCCTATGAGCAATGTAAAAAATAATTTGGAAAGATTGGCATTAAAATAATCATACTCTTTAAATTTAGAAAACAAATTTTATAATAAAATAGCTGTGATAAAATTTTATTAAGTTTGCTAAAATTCTAATAGCTTTGATAAAATTTTACTTGAAATATAATTTTTTAATTTTGTTTTTTTTGGTTTTCTTTAATCGTGCAATTTCCATTTATATATTTTTATTGATTCATAATATTCCGTAAAATTAGAAACTATACATTATTCTCTTTATTTATTCAATACGTCCAATTCATCTTGAATATATTCGATCTTTGTTTATCCAAGATATTGCCTAAATGATTATTTTATGTTTCTCGTTTTGAAAAATAAACTGGTCGAGTTAATATAGCATTTCTTTCATGTTCAAGGTTCGATTTACTTTGCAATATTTAACGCAAATATTTGCGTTAAATTTACCGAAAGCGTCAATAACACGTAACATATGTTAAACTACAAGCAATACATATTACACGACAATAAACAACACACGTGTATGTCCTAATATTGTAATAATACACAATTGATTAATTAATAAATAAACGAACAACAAACTAGAGAAGTTTCTCGCGAGATTTACACTTTACGATATTGTACCCGATCGCTCACGTCGACATGGAGCACTCTCGAAAGCGCGCATTCGGGCGTTGAATAATAATTTAAATCGATTCGTAAAATCGCGATCAATTTTTGCGTGGACGTGAAATCCGGGAGAACGCGAGAAGCCCGGCCATTCCGCTCAACTCCAAAGGTGGCTCTTGATAGTCGGGTTAAGATGCTTGCGCGTACTCGCCCGTCCGTGCACGAGTGCTTGCTTTCGGTTCAGTGTCGAAGACGGTTTATAGTGGTTTAAGAGGACTAGAGGTCGATGGCGCGACCAGAGAGGGGCAGGGGATGATAGTACGAGAGGGACGAAAGATCGGAATAGGGTGAGAGACCTCGGGGCGAAAGAGGCGGATGAGGAAGCAGATGCTCCCCAACTGGTGTCACGGATCATGGTCATCTTGAAAGCTCCTGAAAGGCGGGAATGCCCCGCGCGTCCTGTGAAAGCTATCTCTCCGAGGAGGGAATGACTCACTCCGTTCTCGTTGGGATCGCGCGAACTCACTCCCGCGTGTGTATGTTCGCGGATATAGTGTGTAAATATGTAGAGGGATCCCTCTTCTCCGAGGACGAAAAATGGCAGGTACTTTGCGGATGACGGTTTCATCCGGGGCTCGTTAACTCGTTTACTCGTGTCAACCTTCGTTTCCACGTTTTTTTTTTTTTGTATGTCCTTTCATCGAGACTTTTTTTTTATCTCTTACAGTTTGCCAATGCGGCAAAATTATCGCGCAACTAGAGATTACAAAGGAACGATGTATTTTAAAGAATATTAATGAAAGAAGGATGGAAATAATTATTATAATTTTTCCTTGGATCTGTTTTTCGGTATTGATTTTTCTACACATAGCAAAGCGCAAAATATCAAACATTTTGACTAATAGTTGTCTTTATTAAATAAATGAAAATTTTAATTTCTTCTAAAATAAATGATATGCAAAAATCACATTTTTTTTCTCCCGAAAATTACATGTGTATTTTTAAAAAATTCATCGTGTCATATTAACTGTCGTCCTAAATTCTATTTGTGCATTGAAATCTCGCAAAAACACACATGGTAACGATCCTATTTCATTACTGCTGCACATACAATATATATATCCATCCGTTATTTTTACATAAATCACATTTAATTACTGCAGAGCATGAGATTTCGTGACATCAAGAGAGGCACGAACACCGCAGCGGTTATCGTCTCGTGTTCACGTCGATCATCTCGTCATGAAACATGGTAGACCACTCGATATGACTCGACACGGGAATAATATTTCGCGGAAAATAATATAATATACCATTGTGTTACTATGTTATGTCATTAAAGATCGCGCGAGCTTGTTAAACGCCGAGGAAGGATCCAAACGTGACACGCACGTCGAACGACTTCGTTCACGCAAATACGAATATTTTCATGAACTTTGTGACCAATTTTCGCGATAGTGATTCAATTGAACATAGTTTATCTCCGTCAGTTTAATAGCTCCTCATGACGAAAGATCAAATTCGAATATATGGCATAATTGAATGCTAATTTATTGCTAATTTATTGTTCTCATTCCTAATTTATTAGTTATTTTTCCTATCAATTTGAAAATTAATATTAAAAAAATAAAATTCTAACTTACGATAACATTCTCACCTCCAAAAAATACTTATAATGAATCGTAAACAAATATATCAGAATTATTTACTAATTAATTGCTTAAAGAGACAGCAAATAAATTTCAAAAATATTTAATTTTTATAAATGTGTCAAGAAATACGGAATATTATAATGGAATATTATAAATAGTAATATTAATATAATCATTTTTTTTTAATTTTTTATAAATCTTTTCTGGAAGTAGAGATCTTAACTCTTATAATATTAACTCCTTCATTTTAATATCAATTTCTTACTAATTGTTAAGAATAATAAATTTAGGATTACAACAACAAATTATCAATAAATTAGCACTTAATTCTGCTATACATCCAAATATAATTCTTGTGGCAACAATGCCAGATATATAGTTTATATGTTTATACATATATTATATATATATAGATAAAGAATATTCTAAGAATGATGCCGTTAATATATGTATATAATTTCAAAATATGAATCAAGTTTTCAAATGTTTAAATAATTAATTTTTAATTTAGATTTTATTTTGTTTAATATAATGTCAGGATAGAATCTCATTTCTATTGTTTTCATAAAAAAGCTATTGTAAGAAAAAATTGATTTCTATAAAATAAATTAACTCTGTATTATATAACTTGAATTTTACTAGCATTCAATTTTAATAAAAAATCAAATACGATAACATTAAATACGATATGCAATAATATTGCATGTATACATGCGTAAAGCACTGAAAAATTTACCAAATGATCTATATGATTTAAATTAATAAATAAGATTAGTATTACCAGCAGCATTGCGGTTTTAACTCTGAATAGAACACGATGAATGTGTATATGTGGGTTTGTGAATGCGCTTTTAATTCCGAATAAAATACGACATATATGGTCAAATAATAAAAATGAAACAAAAATAAAATAAGAATCGACGTGGTATACCGTTCTACTAAATACTATAATATTGAAGCAATAATAAAAGTAAGAATAAAAGTAAAAGAATAGCGTTTTAGATACATTTAATAAATTATTTTGTAGTAAAATCTTTTATTTTGCAATTATTTAAAGCTGTTCACACAAATAAAATGAAATCATTAGTGAGACCGATTCATTAATGAATCTGTCCCTGATTCAATTAAGGAATTATTGAATATCGGACCGTTAAAGTGTTTTACTAAAATCAATAAATATGTTCTATATTATATAGCATTTGACAATTCCCGTATGAGATTCGTATATAAATTAACTTTCGATCATAAAATTAATTTATGCGATGTAAATTAGATGTTGATTAACGTGCCGCTATAATAATAATATATACTAATTAATTTAAATCGCATAGTTCATTTACTATTTTACATAAACGTCAAATGATTGATGTAAATCGCGTTCACATCTTTCGGTTATATATGCAATGAAATATGTATTATTTGTAATTAATGACACCATGCAGTGAGAGAGTACATTGATTAATATTTAAAATAAATAATATACAAACAGGAAATAATTCAGTCATTTTATGTATCTGTCTGTATTTACTTCCCTACTTTAATTATATATTTCACTACAAA